ATACCTCTCAGGTTGGAATTTTTTGTTGTTATTGCTGTGACGAAATAATTGACAAAACACTTGAAGAAAGATTATTTTGGTTCACTGTTTTAGATGTGTTATTCTGTGCCAGCTGGCTTCATTGCTCCTTCCTCTTGGGAAGGCAGGAGAGCATGGAAAAATAAAACATCTCACTTCATTGCAGAAAGACAGAAGGCAGATACAAAGGACAAGATGTACGTTCACAGCCCAGAATGCCTTCTCTTCATTTTAAAGATTCTTGATGATCTAAAATTTGATCTTCATCTTGTTTCTCACAGTTTCTTGCCAAATGCTAAAGTCTGCATCAGTTGAGTTGGGCTTTTTACTGTTACATTTACCCTCTTATATTTATACTTTCCATTTAGCCTTCAATTCCTTTCCTTTTGCTTGCTTTCTGTGTGATTTCAGTTTCCATGTTTGGTTTCATCATTCCTATGAAACTTTCATGTTCAGTTTTTGAATTGCTATAGCATGTATTCATCATACTGTGCAATTTTGTGCTCAAGTGCTGTCTTATTTGTTGTTACCTTATTAACACATTCTGTTATAATAATTTGATTCAATATATATCACATGCTGTACTTACTGTGTGTTCTGGACTATTCCAAATGTTACTCTGGTTGAGATGTATCTTAGTGAAAAAAACAAAAATCTTTGTGCCAAGCCCTTGATAACAACCATAAAGATATCAGATGCATATTAGACAGCGTGTTGGGTTTTTGTTTGAGACATGTTCTCACTATATAGCCCAGGCTGGACAGAAACTGTTTGTAGCCAAGATTAGCCTCAAGCTTGCAATCTTCCTGCTTCCATTTCTTGAGTACTGGGATTATAGGCATGTGTCACTCACTATACCTGGCAAGACAGCGTGCTTTCGCTTTTTAGATTTATTCATATGTCTATGGTGATGCACGTTGGATCTATAGTGATGAGTAACATTGTTTGAAGTATTAAGTTTTTATCAGCAATATAGTATCACACATACACACATGCCAACATGCATACTTAGCTCTTCTTACTAAAGTCAGAGAGGTTACTGTCCTATTTCCTACATGTTCAGGGCCTTCTCTCATATTTGGGCCAGTTTTCTTAATGCTACTGAACTGTTCTCATTCATTCTTGGTATCTAGAGTGATTTTCCTTAACTGCTTACCAGATCATATTGCTTTTCATGGGTATTATGTAGCCTTCAGGTTAAATGCTAAATCTGATATTTTCACCTTTCAGTATCTGGTTTTGGCCTGTCATCCTTCTTATAAAGCAGGTAGCATTGTTGATTGACCATACTAAATCTACTGTGTCTTGAATCATGCTTTATTTTCCAAAGTGACCTTTCATAGTTGTCTGTCTTAAGTAATTTCCCTCTCCTTTTGTTGTGTTCCCATAGACTGTCTTCTCATCACTTTTGAATGTGTTGTTTACTGTCTTAGTGTACCAACTGCTCATCAAAAGCCAGTACTGTGCAGCTTTCCTTGCTACTGTGCTACTGTTTATAAAGCAACATATAATAGTTTGTTGCTTAATACATGTTAATTAAATGTACTCAATAGACTTTAGTAGAAAATAACCATTAAGACTGTAACTGGGTAGTTTGTCATCTTGGTTGTTTAGAACTGCTTCCCTCGTTGTTAATTGTCCAACAAAGGTTTAAGTGCTTAAAGTGTGAATTCTAAGTTTTATGTTAACCTAGATTAAAATGATAAGTTTTCATCTTCTGTTGGAATAAAAATTATTTGACCATGTCTAAGAAATCTGCCTTAACATTTGCCATGCCATCACTTACTAAAACATGTAAACAGTTTGAGAAACAAAAAATTGGAAGGACATTGGATAATATCCTTTCTCTTTTTTGTCACCTAGCTTAGTCAAGGAGATGATACTTGAAAGCATTTGGGGTGATCTGAGTCCCAAGCGCATATGCAGGCATGCTTCTAATAGTAAACAATAAGTGTTTTCTTTTAATTTTCTTGTCAGTAGGAGAACTAGTTTGATGAAACATTGCAAAATGTCAGCTGCACTGAGGTTGACACAGTATTCAAAGTTTGAATATTAAAATTGCAATATGTATGTATTTCAGTATTAAATTTTTGTTTTCAGTGTTGACAACAAGCAAGATAAAATACTGCTATTTGGTATATTTTATTTCTTAGAGAATTGCTTAATTTGTATTGGTAAGAATTTTTTAACCTACTCAGTAACTATTACTGACAAAAATTGAAATGATCATTCTTCTAGACACTAAAGGCAAATAACTTTTCTTGCTCTTCATGGCCTCAGGTTAATAGAGTTGAAAAGGTTGAAACCTAAGTTACCCCAATGCTTCACCCTTCTTAAGGGTCCTTATGAGCTATTTCATAAATGACTTGCCCCAGTTCCAGTTATCAAGAGAATCCGAACCTAGAGGCAATGAGTCCAGACAGAAATTGTCTCTTTGATCAACTTATTGTTTTAAAGCATTAATGAAACCATAAGAGTGCTTGAATCAATGACCCATATGGTTGTATGTTTGAGATTCTAACCATGATCGGCTTTGTAGCTTCATTGCATTTCATCTCAGTTTAACAGTTTTATATTGTGAAATTTATATTTAACTCTATAGTTAAACTTATTTAAGCATTCTGCTTTAAGGAAATAATGAAAAATACAAACACGTTTGATTTTTAAACATTTCAAAGATTCTGCATTTGTGTAAACTTAGGCATAAATGCCAAATTGAGCAGTGAAAATAGTTCATTAGAGTGATGTGGTTTTGAATTTTAAATGATCCTGTTATTTGACTAGTTACTTTAATGTGCTCAAATTTGATGTGAATACTCTAATTGCTGATTGTGTATTAATGTCTTCAAGCTTGATCTAAGTTCAATACTAATAAAATACTAACAACACAACTCTCTAAACTTTGCTATTTTGAAAGTACATTCCAAAGTACTCTTCCGTACATGTGCATGAAAAGGAGAAACTATGGTAAAATATTTTGCACATAATTTTAAAATTATCTCTATGTAAATTCCTGTTTCAGGGTAAAAGTGATATATTTTCTTTTAGTAGCACATACGTAGTCACCTAACAGTGACACATTATAGGTAAAATTTACTGATTTCTTTTGAGTTGAAAAATCCTACTACAAAATAATGTATTTAGCATAGTATGTAAAGGAGTTCAGAAAGGTGTTTTCAGCTTCATTTCTAAAGAAATTGACATAGTAAAATGAAGGAGTAGATGAACATTACATTTTTGCATTGAACAGTTTTAAGTCATACATGAACAAGACTACTGAGATATACCAGCTTTCTCAGGGTGACTCCTTAATTCTGCCTTTGCCTCTATAAAGCTTTTCTCTCCTGTGGACCAAAGTTACCATGCCATTATTTTGGGGTCTAGATTATTAAGTCTGTTTCCCTAACTTTTATTAGGTTATTTGTTCCTTAACATGGTTCACACCTATAGTTAGTAATTTGAAAGAAGTTAACCCCTCCCCAGTTTATCACATTTCATCATATGTGCCTTTAGCCTTTTTGAAATAGCATTTAATAACTTGGTATTGAGAAGTAGAAATATCTGTATTGTAATAAATTCTTTTGTATGTTTATGACAGATTGTGCTAAATGACATTGAAAATTCTGTGACTATCACTGTTTCAAGGCCAAATTGAGTGCGATTCACTTTGCCTACAAAACTTTTTTACTTAAGTAAAAACTGTCTTTGCTTTTTAAATCTGTAATTTCAAATAAACCTTCTGACATACTGTTCAATAATCCTTTGAAATTACAGGTAGGATATATAGACTGCTGAATTTCTGTTATACACTACCTGAAAAGGTATTAAGAAATGTGAAAGGAAAATAATGTAGCTTTTGATGTAAAAATGATCTAAACAGTAATTCAGTTGCTGGAGTTTAAGATAGAATATTTACAAATCAATGACCTTGTTAAAAAGTAGTTTTATTTAAGAACTACTTTTCTATTGCTATTTTTGAGAATTGCTTCTTATTAGGTGATTGACTTTTTACTAATTGATTTAGCAAACATAAAATTGTCCTTTTATGATGAGTCACAATATTCTTTGTCAGTCTTTTGACACTGTATTAATTTAGGCAGAAATTTTCAATAGTTTTTGGCCTAAAGTCTTATAGCTCTTAGGAAACTGATAATACTACATTTTTGGAAAGACTTTATTCTTGTCATAGAATGTTTGCTGCATTTTTGGAAAGTTTTTTTTTTAATTCTTGACATAAAGTGTCTTCTAGTGAAAGTGGTAATCATTACATGATGCACTCATATGCACTCAGTGCTTGTCTGTACCTGACTCAAGTCCTAGTCACAGTCCCATGAAGTACATTGAATTGGGCAAGGAAACAGGAGCAGAATTGTTAACTAGCATGCCTGAACTCATACAGCTAGTAGATTGTAGAGGAATTGAGAGAATATTAGGGTTCTGCCATCATATTTCATACAATTAATGCTCTTTAATCTTTTGCTTTAATCAGCCCACAACTAAAATGTTTCAGTTTTGTTGTTGTTATTATTTTCCTCTTTTTAGAAACAGAGTCTTGGTATATAATCCAGATTGGCTTATAATTCTCAGTCTTCTTATCTCAACCTCTATAACACTCAGAGCTTAGTGTTGTCAGTGTGTTGAGTAAATTAGAGAAAGGTAAAAAAAAATCACTACTTTTCACCTCATTTTGATACCCTTATTTTACATAGCACATTTATTGGGAGTAGATTTTGAATGTTTATCTAAGTCATTTAACTTTCATTCACATGGTTGTGATACTTTGATAACTTGAAGAGGTTTATGAGGTAGTACCTTATACTGCACTTTAAGTTTAAACTATGTGGTCTTGACCAAGTGCCAGCAGAATGAAATTTTAATTTGTCTTTTTAAAAATATAATTTTCAAGATGTATAGAAAGTTTTCCAGCAGTGTCCCCAAATCTAAATTCATTTATTGTTAAATTTATTTGTTTTTTCACACAGGGTGTAATAGGTATTCAGCTGGTTGTTACCATGGTGATGGCCAGTGTCATGCAGAAGATTATACCTCACTATTCTCTTGCTCGATGGCTACTCTGTAATGGCAGGTAAGGAAGGGGTAGGCTGTTTCTGATGGCACTTGTTTGTTTATTTGTTTGGAGACAGGCTTTCATGTAGACTAGGCTGGCCTAAGAGACTGCTTGTGTAACTAAGGCTTATTTTCAAATTTTGATCTTCCTTTCTTTACCTTCCAAGTACTAGGATTATAGGTGTTCACCACCTTGCCCAAATAAGTGACTGGCAGGTTCAGTCTTTATTTAGTTTTCAGGCTTGATTAACATCCTAGAAGGTCCTAAAAATATGACAAAAGAATGTTGTAAGAGATCTTGTTTTCTTTTTTCTCTTATTTGACATATTAGTAGTTTATCTATATAGCACAGAAGTATTAGGTCAAGGCCAAGTATTCAGGCCTCATCCTTACCTGTATTTTCTTTGTTTTGTCCCCTTTCTGACTACGGGGAATACCAACTATCTTTTTCTAGTTACAGTTAAAAAATCCTTCGTTAGTAAGGGGGTGAGAAATTAGAAATCCAAGCACTTAAGTGTTTTCACCATTTGTTGAGAAAAAATTACCCAGTATATGTCCTGCTTGTGGTGATTTAATTCAAAATTATTATAAGAACCAGAGGTTCTTTGTTTTATTGCAATGAATTTTAATCTATTTAATTCAGCAAAGAGGGAGTGGAATTATGTGGTATGATTTTAATTTTATCTATTACATTGTAAGCCTAGTCTCCACAGTTTTCACAAAAAAACCTAAGTTGCCAAGCTAAAATTAATGTAATAAAAAAATATCAGAAGAAGTTAAAAATGGTCACATAGTTACATAAAAGTAAAATTAAAAAAAAAATCTGTATGCAGAAATATAATCCAGTATCCTGTGTAATTATGAAAGGTAAATGATGAATTTGATACCAAACTACAAGTATTCATTCTCAGTAGATAACCAAGTTCTGTCTATTTTCTTTTGTTTAGACCTTTTGAAATTAGAACACAATGGATAGTGCTCTTACTAATAATTTCATGTACAGCAAGACAAATAAGCCTTTAATTTAGGGCCATTCTAGTTACAAAACTTAAATTTCCTTCATCTAATTCATTTTCCATTGTATTCATGCTTCCTATGCTTTATGCTTTTTTCTTGGTAATAATCAAATATAGAAAAATATACATAATAGTTTTTAATACACATTTGTATGTATATAGTGAATATGTGAAAGAGCAACCATTTATAAATGTATTTTTATTAGCAAATGAAATAATGAGTTAGTAATACACATTATTTTGAGAAGCCTTTGTCAGAGCTTTTTCTAGTATCTCATTTGGATCTGTACACTCTGAATAATATAGGAAAAGAGATTCATTGGGACATGTTAAAGAACATCCAGATCCCAGTGTATGAAATTGATACTTTTTTGGGGGGGGGGTCTTTTTGAGACAGGATCTCCCTGTAGCCCCAACTGGCCTAGAGCTTACTATGGAGACCAGGCTGGCCTTGAATTCACAGGGATCCACCTGTCTCTGCCTCTGGAGTGCTAGGATTAAAGGTGTGCACCACCATGCCTGACTTGAATAGTAGATTTTGCATGAAGACTAGGATATTGCTTTTTTTCATGATAGTTTCTTTGTTTAACCTGCTTTTTATTTCCTTTATTGTTTAGCCTAAACCTCATGAATTTCTCTCAATACTTTTATCTTACTAATCTCTCACTTTGGTCTACTACCTTCCTTTAATGTCCCTCATCAGAAATATATTTTAGGGGCTGATGTGATATATGTCTCAGTGGGTAAATGTGCTTGGAGCACATATCCGATGACTGGAGTTGAATCCTTAGAAGGAGAGAACCAACTCTTGAAAGTTGTCCTCTGACCACCATGTGTGCGCCATGGTATGCATGTTTCCATATTCACTCAAACACACACATACCATACAAAATAGTAATAAATAGAATTATTTAAAATATATATTTGGGGAGCTGGAGAGATGACTCAGCAGTTAAGAACACTGGCTGTTCTTGGAGAAGACCCAGGTTCAAATCCCAGCACCAACATGGCAGCTAACAACTGCCCGTAACTCCAGTTCTGGGGGATCCGACAGCCTCTTCTGTCCTCCACAGGCCTTGCATGACATGGGTTTACTTCCCTACATGCGGGCAATACACGCATACACATAAAATAAAAATTATAAATAAAATTTAAATATATATATATATATATAACTTTAATGTTGTCTCCCTCATATTGAGTCAAAAGGGTGCCAAAACACTCTAGTATTCATTTGTTTGAATTCTTTTTGCCTGTTGTTGGTCACATGTTGCCTAATCCAAAAATCCGCAAGTTTCCTTTGGTGAGAAAAACTATTCAGATGCATGGTAGGTAGGTCCTAAGGCCTAAGGGAAAGATTTAAAATTTAAATATTTAGCTCCTATGTTTATGGAATGCTTGAGTTCCTTGGTCTCTTTGCTTTAACTGTCTTAGCTTCCAGGTCCAGAACATTCATTATGGTCTTTGAAAATTTTCAACAAATAGAAGATATATATATATATAGATGTAGATACAGATATATACACATATATTTATATCTTTATATTATATGTAAAAATTTGCTGGGCATGGTAGGGCACACCTTTAATCCCAGCACTCAGAGGCAGAGGCAGCTGATCTCTGTGAGAGCAAGGCTGGACTGGTCAAAATACAAGCAAGTTACAGAGCATCTGGGGCTACAAGGAGATCCTGTCTCAATAAAACAAAACAAAAAACAACAAAATGCTATTTTAGCTACTTGTGCTAAAAGATTCTGTGTTTAAGTAGTATTTGATTTCTCGTCATCTCATTTTTATTCCCCCACTTGTTATAATTATGGAAATTTAGAATAAAAACTAAAGTTGTGGTTAGTCACTGTATTTGTCAGTTTGGGCTGCTGTAACGAAGTACCATAGGCCTATTCCTCACAGTTCTGGAGCCTGAAAATCTGAAGTCAGGATGCTAACATGACCTAGTTCTGGTGAAGAATCATATACCAGGTTGTATACTGTTGACTTCTTATTGTATCCTCACATGGCAGAAAGAGAGCAAGCAAGCCAACTTTCTGACCTATTTTAAAAGGACACTAATCCCATTCATAAAAACGCCATATTTATGAACTAATTACCTTCCAAAGGCCCCATGCTCCAAATGCTATCACACTGGTTATAGATTTAAGTGTTTGAGGAGACACAAACATTGAGTTTGATGATATATGTCCTGAAATAGTTTTATGTGATTATATGTTAAAACTTCTTTAAGCTTGGTCTAGCAGTACTATATTTTTGTATATTAGTTCACATTTGGAATGTTGATGCCACTTACATTTTTACAATAAACTCTAGGTAAATAATTCTATAGTTATAGTTTCTGGTGCTTAATTTTAGTATTACTGACCAGTTACAGAGATCTGATATTTTATATATGAGAATGACCATTTTAGTTTGTTTCAATTATTTAGTACAATGGCAGATTAACCTTAATCTAAAACACTGCTAATAATATGAACTCACCATAAGAGTAAAAAGCTACTTCACCCAAGTTCAATGCCAATAAATAGGCTGTAATTTATTTAGTTTAAATGCAAGAGGTTCCGTTTTTCAGTGAGATCCTTTAGAACTGCTCTTTTTGATTTCAAAAGCAGTATATACCTACAATGTGGGGGGAAAAACATGGCAAATTGGTAAAAATGTAAAAATAAAAGATGGTAGATTATATTCCTGTCACCCAACAGGTCATCACTGTAAACCTTGTATTTCCTTCTATTTTTTTTTATTTGTATTTCCCCTGTAAGTTATGATATACTGATAGGTACAACTTTACATTATACTTTTTGCTCTTAACATAGAAACCATTTTTCTCCTCTAATTATTCTTGTAGACATTTGTTAACTCCTGCATGGGCTCTAAATCTGATAAATATTTCTATGTCTTCTAAGCCGTATTAGAAAGGCATGCGCAGCTGTTGCAAACATGCAGTCATTTAGTTGAGACAAAGTATAGAAAATGGGGACCATATGGGATAGACTGAAATTGTTTGCAGAATACTGGCTGTTAAAGAAAATCAGACGAAAGTACATCTGAGTTTTGTCTGTTGATTTGCTGTTCAAAAGGTGTCTTCCTGACATTCTTTCTTGCCTCCCACTATTCACAGAACAATAACAACAGTCTTTAAGTGTAGTTGGATTCTCCCTGTGTTTGAGACTCTTATTTTCGCCTGATGTCTACCCTCCGCACTGTCATCTATGAGACTTGGCAGACTCTGTGCCTTTCTTACTTCATTAGCTCCCTCTTCAGTTTCTTCTTGAAGCTGTTACCCATTAGCTTTTTAGTTACTGCAGTGTTGTGTCTTTCTTCATGTCTGTGCTTTTGGACATGCTCTTTCTTGCTTAAAATACTCTTTCTTCCCTCCACTTTCTTACCCATTAAGGTGCTTGCTAAATACTGTTTCACAGAATTTTTTTTACATATCTAAGATTTGTCTCATATTTTTACCACTCATTTGGATTTTTTATGTGGGATTACAATTTGTAATTTTTTTTAAAGGATTCAGTTCTATCAGGATTGGAATAGAAGTATCAAAAGGGCAGGGATTTTGGCTTTATTGGTCATGATTATGACTCTTGCCTAGCAGAGTATGTTCTACCTAATGGGCTCTCAGTAATGGCTGCTGAATGAATGAATGAATGAATGAGAGTCTAGAAGTGGTCCTGCAAACTGCCAGCATCATTAAGAGTTCAGCTGTGAAAAATTTTACTAGTGATGATAACCCTAATTTATCTAATTTGGATCATAATAACTGTAATCTTAGAAAAATGGGCTTATAAAGTAAATTTTAGGGGCTACAGAGTTGGTTCAGTGGATAAGAGTAGCACCCATGAAGACCTAAGTAACCCATGTAACAAGCCAGATGTGGTCTCAGTGTACCTATCACCCCAACATTGTAGGTAGCAGACACGGGAGGATTGCTGGGCTCATTGGCTGCCTGTCAGGAAAAAAAAAAAAAAAAACAATGTTTTTAAGGTAGAGACCCTACCTTAAAGGAATAAGGTCCCAAGTGATAGAGACACCCAGTGCCCTCCTCTGTCCTGTGTATGCATGGGAGCACCTGCACACACACACACACACACACACACACACACACACACACAGATAAGTTTTATCAAACTTGAATAAATTTTAAAAGATTTTTTTTTAAATATAAGGGTCTTAAAATATTTCATCATTCCAAATATAACTCAGGTTTTATAGTAGTATAATTTTCACTGATTTCTCAAAACCAAACAACTAATTTTAGTCTTTTAAATGAGTTATTTCTTATGTCCTGAATATTATGCACTCATCATTGTGGATTCTGTACTTGTAATTTTCCCAATTACTAAAATTTATTTGTAACTATAGAGTCAGTTTGTAGGTAGAGCCTTTCTAGTCATCCATGGATTTATACAGTGGTAAAAAAATTTTTGTGTACCTACATAGATGTTCTCGGTTAGACTCTAATAAGGGAATTCTGCCTGCTTGTTTTAGTTTTCATAAAGAGGCATCCTTTTTGTGTTCTAGTTATGGCTACTTTTTTTCATGCTCTGATGTTTTGTTGATAGTTTTGCTACTTAAAATGGCCTCCAAGCATAAGCTGAGTTATTCTCTAATATTCCTAAGTACACGAAACCTAAGGCATTTTGTGAAAATTTGCTGGAGTGATATGCAGAAATCAGGAAAATGCCATGTTTATGATTGTAGATATTAGCAAAGCTATATTCAGGAATGAGACATAGCGCTACTAACTTTGAATTCAGTGTTAATGAATCAGCAATAATGTCCTATAATATAAAGCATCTTTAAATAGAAACACATATAACAAGGTTACATCTTGATCAGTTAATGAAAATGTTGTGACCAAAGGCTCACAGGAACCTAACCCTGTATTTCCCCTAGGAGCAATGGTTCAGTGTTCGCGGCGACTTTATAGAGCATAACTACCGCGAATACCGAGAATCAACTGTAAGTTAAAATTCTGGACTTCAATAGAAATTCCTGGAAGTTCGCTCTCACATGTTAATTATGATTTAGAGGCCTTTGGGTTGGGATATATATATATATAAATTTAAAGCCACTAAACTAGGAGGAGAACTGAATTATTTTGGTTCAGTGAACCTTTTTGAGCACTTACTATATGCCAGTAACTATACTACCTTTACAGTATGCAAAACCCAGCCAAGTCATTAAGACTTTCAACTAAAGGGGAATTGGAGTAGTATTCTGTTTTTAATCCAACTTACCTTATGCTGCAGTTAATTCTAACATTAAGTATCTTGGGTTAACACAGATCCCAGAGGTTAAAGTGAAAGACTTCTTCAAGTTCATACATGACCTACAAGTTCTTGGGAGTTACTCAGACCACCTTTGCTTCTGGCTGCCTGACTAAAAATCCAGAGGTTCCCATGATCCCCTTAGGTTCAGTATTTCACATAGAATGATTCACAGAGTTCTGATTACTGTTTTGCTAGAAAGGCTGCAGATAGGTTCTTAGTCCTGTTAACAAAAGAATTTGAAAACAGACTTACTAGAATGCTCAGGGACAATTTTGTTAGAGTTTAAATGAAAATCTCTACGGCAGGCAAACTGAAATCTCTGTAGATGTCCTGAAAAGAGGAAGAGAGAAAGTTATGCCTTTTTGAGTGGAGCACAGAGGTTCAACAAGTATGCAGTTACATGACAAAAGGAAGGTGTGGTGTGTAACACTCTAGAGAAAGAGTGAGGAATCTAAAGTGTTACAGAAAGCATGTTTAAAAGAAGTAGGAAAAAGAAAAGAAGTTAAACTTTATTCTATGAAGGAAAGTATGTTACCTCATTAAAGGTATAAGTATTCATCCCATTTTTTAGCATGGTGTTAGGTGAATCTGCCTTCCTGAGGGTGGTCCTTTAGCACAGTGATTGACCTGCCCAGCTGGATTAACTCTTCAGGGAGACTATGCCTGGGAGGTAATAGCTTTCCCTTAAAGAGCCTTCAGTGCTACTATAACATCCCCCTCTGAAGAGGTAATCCTAAAATCACTTAGGAGTTGGACTGAAATTGGTGAATAGATATAGAGCATTTCTACCATGAATATCCAAAGATCCAATTCCAAAGCTGCTCACCTGAAGGGATTAATTTCTGGATTGGAGTTTCCATTCCTATTCTCACACAGTTTCCATTTGAGATAAACCAGAGCTCCCTTCTGGCATTCCTGGCCATGGACTTTTCAGGAACTGCTGCTTTGGGGTGTCTACCCTACCTGACCAATTTCTCTCCTCTTCTCATCATGAGGGTGTCATCTCTGGGCCCATCAATGTGTTAACCAACAAGAACGTTACCCCAAGCTTTGATATCCAGAGTGTTTTTTAGAGTTCCATCAGTAGATACAATTTTATGTCATAGATTTTATATCGTTGTAATAATTGAACTCAGACTCCAATCATTCTCCTGTAACTAAAGGTTAAGTGGTTGAAAGTCTCAACCCTTTAATCATGTGTTGGTGTTTCTGGTGAGCAGACTCCATCTTGGAGCTATCTAGCTGCCTATCAAGTTTGAACCTTCTTAGCATAACAAAACACCTGTCACTCTGGGTTTTTGAAGCGTTGTGCCAGGAACTGAAAGCAAAGAACCAATACATTATTTTACCATTGGGAGACTGCTTGTAAAACATAGGAGGTCAATTAAAGCATAGGTGTTTATAACCAGAGAGAAGAATGTATACAAAAGCATCAAAAGATGAAAGAATATGTGAGGAATGAAATGTCATTTAGTCAAGGGAGAGTGTTTCACTTTCACTGGTGAGTGATTGAAGATGTGTGTGAAGGGGGCCTTGGGCACATCATAAAAGGCTGTGGAAGCAGGAAGTCACAAGCTCTGTATATATTAGGGCGGTGTAAAGTGTGTCTTAATGGATATTTTCAAACATAGTGTAGACAGACTAGTGCAGTGAATTCCTGTGTACTCAGCACAGTAGCTTGTGCTCACACTTGTTTTTCTTCTGTGCCTGTCTTCATCTCCTCTTATCCCCCAAGTTTTTAAACATTCTGTTCAAAATATTTCAGTGATAAATATTTCAGTATCTTTCTAAATATGTGTGCTTTATAAAATTATACAATCCCATTGTCATCTCAGAATTTTTAGCCATAATTCTTTAATATTATCAAATATCCAGCCAGTGCTCAAATTGTCAGTTATTCTATAGTACTTTTAAAATAGTGAGTTAATTGCTGATTTTTCTTTAAATTGGACATTTCACATGATAATGTAGATATTTTTATGTGTGTGATTTAAAAAATTAGAAAGTCTAGCAATGCTAGGTTTGTGTTCTTCCGTTGTGACAGCAAGACCTTGGTCAGTCCTCACTTAGTGTTCTCATCATTTAGACAGGCTAAAGTACTTTGGAAAGATAGCCATTATGGCAAAATAACTAAGGGTGGGCTTATAATGGTCAGATGGGAAATATGTCCAGAGGGAGGCAGAGAAAGGCTAAAAGAGTTTTGTGATAGTTGTGTCTACAGAAAGCTATAAATTAAGCACAGGTCTGAATTAAGCTCTTTGCAGTAGAGCAGGGAGGGTTTAAAGGGTGGAACAAAACTGATGGTAATATATGTAAAGGGTATTTTAATGGTAAGATCTGATTATCAAATTCAAGGAACTGGTAAATAGTGGAACCACTCAGTAAAACAGGAAAATCAGTGAACTGGTTGGTGCTTAGGAGAGAATAAATAATTTGAGTATTTTGTGTGGTAGAAAGGAAAGAAGGAAGGACTTCTTATAACTATGAGCACATTCAGACAGCTCTCTTTTAAAGATAACTATCAATTTCTTCAAATAAAGGATGGGTGGAATGTTAATGTGCTCCTGCCCACTTGCCTGCAGGGTTCATGTCGTTTACTTTTAGAGCACAGAGTAGGATGTTAGAAATACAGCATAGCAGGGCCTGGCGTCTAGTAAGTGCTTGGTAAGTGTTGACTGGATTTGAATCTAAGCCTTTCAAAGGCTTAACCAGGAGTTTCTGTTTTGTATTATAGTGTTCACCTGATTAGTTCCCTACAGTGTCTTCACAAATTGGAAACTCAGTAAATATTTGTAGAATCAATGGTTAATCCCAGTAATTTTAAGTGATTTATTTAAAAGGTTTTTTTCCTCCTTAGTTTGAGGTGGTATCAACATCCTTCAGAAGAAGAATTAAGAATTCTTGCAGGGAAGCAGCAAAAAGGGAAAAGTAAAAAAGACAGGTGAGTTACTATCTTGCAAAGTGTTGAACATTTAACATAATTATGCAGATATAATTTATGCTTCAATTGCAGGGGTTTTAGATTAGAACCCATGAAATTTTCAGTAAATGAAAATTAGAATCTGAGCACAGAGCAATAGTTATTTTACTCAAAAATTAACTTTACTGTTGTTTAAATGATAAAAAACAACATATTTATAGTATAGAAAATTTATCTGGACATTAATTGAGAAGAGAGCTGCCGCCCATGCCTACAACTCTTTTAAAGATGTCAGTCATTTTGGGTTCTTTCCTACTTGGGTGCTTAATATTTGCTACCACTTCTTATTATGATAGTGAATAAATTGGCCTGCTTATGACTTTAATTTCTTCATTTTTAAAGTAAAAGGGGTAGACATAACTTTGTAGGTACATTCATTGATTGAATGCTTTTCCTCTTGGTACTGCAGAATGCAGGGCTTTGTACATGTGGTTGAGTGCTTTGGCACCGAGCTTTATCCCCAACCCTCATTTATCTGTGTTTAATGTTTATAAAGAGAACTCTGCTAGGAACCTCACTGAATGAACCATGGTAGTTTCTGTGAGTTGGAAAGATTGAACACAGTCATTTTGAAGAATTCCTCCACTTTTAAAATTTCATGTCTCTATTTAGTTCACAGAGAATGTACACATCAGTATCTTCTGACTTGGCCTAACTGGGGTTTCAGAAGAATTTCTTAGGTCTTCTTGATGCTAAAATTGTGTGTGTGTGTGTGTGTGTGTGTGTGTGTGTGTGTGTGTGTGTGTGTGTATGTATGTATGTATGTATGTGCGTGTGTTTTAATGTATTACAAAATGTCAGTGACAACAAATGTTCCCCAATCTTCTCCCATGTATCATAAAATAGTAACTTGCTGTAATAATTTATATATAAAGATTTGGTGCTAAAAAGCAATCCTCTTAAACATCAGATTATCTGGCATGAATTTAAAGAGTGACTTTTCTGACTGTATTACTGTTTTCTTTTTCACTTGCCATTACAAATTAACCCTGAAGTTCACGGGAATATTAATTATAAACATTCCCTTTAAAAAATTTCAATAGTCCTTTAATAAAGTATTCTTGACCAATGTTATAGTTTCTAAAGCATTTTTACATACAGTTGTAACTTGATACATGCAACACCCTAAATTATTTAATTTACATTTTACTGAGAAGCTGTTTAGTGAGTTGCCCAAATTTATGTCCTTAAGGACCAGCACTTTAATTCAGGGTAGGTTTTTGTTTCTTTTTTGTTTTCAACTACTGCAGCCAGTCATTGTTACCATGTTTGGTAATCGTGTGATTTGACTGTGCAGTTTATTATTCATTTTGTAAGATTTGAATGTTTTGCATCCTTTATAATTTATTGTTTTACTTGGGGGGCGGGCAGGGTCTCATGTAGCCCTGGTCTTTAAGCCTTTATGTAACAGATGACAACCTTGAACTTCTGCTTCCTGCCTCTGCCTCCTAGGTGCAGTTGTAGGCAGGCATCGCCACTGCTGGTTAATGAAAGTCCTCTCAGTTTCTTATAAACACTGATTTTAGTATATTATTTCAGCTCTAACTTAGATATAATTACAGATGTTTTTGTGTGTATATGTGTATAATTTCAAAGAGAATTGTATTTTGTCTTCATTTCCTATAATCTTGTGCCTAAAAGAAGAGATATTAGGTTAAATTGATTAAAGGTTTAATAAATTAAAGAGATAACAAGGATGCTTCTAAATCTAGAGAAGAGAGAAGGGAAGTGGGTGAGACATTGCACTAGCAATTGAGGTCTGGCTGCTCATGCCAATTTAGGTAATTCCTTCTCTGATAATCTGTACAGTCACATAATTTGCATCAGCATTTTGTAGTCTCCTTTTGAAAACTTTCTGAGTCTCTCCTTTCCTTAGAGTGAAACAGGTGTTCTGCTTCAGTTTTCACTGTAGAATTTTAAATCTCTGTTGTATTTAGCTTGATACAAGCACTTGGGTAACTTTAAGTAACTTGTTTTCTGTGTCACTTGTCTAATTTTTGTAGGAAATACAATGGTCACATTGAAAATAAGCCATTAACCATTCCAAAAGACATTGACCTTCATCTAGAAACAAAGTCAGTTACAGAAGTGGATACTTTAGGTAAGGGAAATCTTGGTAAAATGTTCTGTAACACAAGTCTTATATTATGGCAGTAAAAGTACTTTCATTTTATCTATTGTGGTTAGGTTTCATTTGGGGCATATTTTTCTAATCATGAATTTATTATACAGAACATGAAACCTGACAAATAAGAATCTCAAAGTGAACTTAAAAGATCAAAATGTCTTTATTTGAATTAACTCATAGTATTATTCTCCCCAGTTTTGAAGAGGCAAACTTACACAACCTTGTTTAGTAAGTTGAAATCATAGTTTTATAATCTTAAATTCTGAACTGTTTTGTTTCTTATAATAGTTTACTTCTATAATGTAGTTTAAAATTACATTTGTATTGAATTACCTAAATTTTTAATACTTTAACTTTATTCTAATATTTAATATAAAGAATTAGGAAACAGAAAACTTAATTTTACATTCACTATTATGCATGAGTATTTCAAAATAAATCATCTATCCTTCCCTCCATGACTCAATTTCTGTAATAGAATAATGACTATAGTGATTTCAGATTTAAAATGAAATTTATATGAAGTTATTTGAACTCTGGAAGGGAATGGAGTCTAAAATGATGCTGTTTAAACACTAGTTGTCAAACCTCATTATACATAAGAATTACTATCAACAAATCTGAATAGGTTCTGGGAATTTTTACTTTAAAAGTACTCTAAGTGATTGTTTTTTTTTTGGGGGGGGGGCGTATTTTGAGACAGTCTCACTATTAGCCCTGGCTGGCCTGGAACTCACTATGTAGACCAAGCTGGCCTTGAACTCACAGAGATATACCTGTTTCTGCTTCCTGAGTGCTGGGGCTAAAGGCATGTGCCACCATGCTTAGCATCACATTTGTTTTTATAAGTTCTATATGTGTGTTTATTTGTATAAAAATGCTCACAGATATATAAACACATTTACACTGATTGCTAATGTAGTTTTGTTGCTTTTATTAATAGTTAATATTTATTGAAAAAAATTACCAGCTATTTAACTTTAATAATACTTTAGAATTGTTGAGGACCAAGCATTGTTGTGTATGTCTATATTGTTCTCAGAGTTCTTTTCAGATTGGTAACTAGTACCAATCTGCTGTTTTTAAAACTCATTGAAAAGTTAAGTAACTTAGGCAGGTTTATATGCTGAATGTAACAGAACCAATCAGAGAGAACTATGCTATTTTAACTAAAAAAATAAAATTAGGTTAATGTGGCATATAGTTTATTAATATGTGGTTTCACTTATACAATTTTGAGAAGTACAAAAAGTGCTGTTTAATGACTGATTATTTAATACTAAGAACATTGTTAATCAGAATAGCAGTAAGGTGTTTCTTTGTGTAATCATTTTTTTAATGCATGCTGGGTATGTTCATGTAAAAGTAGAGGAGTTTTTGTC